TTCCTGAGACTGGCTTTGAATTCACAACCCTCCTGCCTCAGCCTCCCCAGCCACTGGGATTACAGGTGTGTGCCACCATGCCTGGCTAACTAACTCCCCTTTCTAATCTTTGTCCCTCTGCACTTCAGCAAGTCTCATGGTACTCTCCAGTACTTCTAGGTACTGGATTCAAGGGTGTTTTGCATGACTATGAGGAGGGAGGTTTTTGGGTTTTTTTTCCCCACTCAGCAACACTTTCATAGACCCTCCATGCCAGGCAGCACACTAAGTGCCTTTCAAATTAATTTGATTAATTTGTGAAGATTAACTAAATTAATCTTCACAAAACCCTGGGAGGTAAGAATTATTTTTATCACTCCCATTTTACAGATGAGAAAGCTAAAGAAAAATTAATAAGCTTGCCCAAGCTCACAAGGCCAGTTAGGTGGCAGAGCTAGGATTAGGAACCGAGAGACATCTGCCTGTGGAGCTCACCCTCTGCCTGTCGGCTTGGACAGAGCCAGGGCTCTGGGACCCTTCACAAGCATCCTTGTCACGTGGAACAGTGACGCCCACTGCTTCCTAGACCTGTGACCAAAGGAGGCTCCATGGTAGGGCTGTGTCCAGCTCACAACAGGAACTCCACTTCGTCCTCTTCAGCCAGAATCTGCCTAAGAACCCAGACAAGAATTCCTTGGGAATCTAGAGAGGAGGAGGCTCTCAACAAAACCTTGTCTGTAAACAGACTCCAGGCCTCTAATCTCTTCATCTCATTTGAGTACCCGGACACCGAGTTTGTAAAATGTGTTAAGAAACTAACTCAAACTTAATTTTGAAACATTTTAATACTTGGCAAATCTTTTTGAAAAATGAAATTGAGAGATTCAATTACAATAAAGTATTCTGACAAATTTTGATCATCAATTAACAACTTTTTAAAACACAGTATAAACATAAGGAAACATACAGTGCCTCATGTTTTAAGTATTTTCGGTGACTGTGGAGTCTGCTGTTGCTCCTCCTAGTTAAGACCTGGGTGTGAAAATTTGAGAAGTAGAGATTATACCCTACAGATTTTAAGCTGATGCTTGGGACAATCTGAAAATTAGAAATCCCCTCAAACCAATCCATACAGGTACAGTCTGCCAAGCCCTTTCAGAAATATATTTTCAGTAAACCCTCAACCCCATCAGCTATTATTCCATTTTACGGGTAAGTACAATGAGGCCCAGAATGGTAGTAGTTTTCATGCACCATTTGTCTAATGTCTATTGAAACTGAGCAACCCCCTGAGAGACAGAAATGGAGGAGGACAATACAGTACGGTTGGTGCTTTGGGAGGAGCACGCACAGGGCATGAGAGCAAGGTGGAGAAACTCGCCCGGCCTCTGACCAGGGGATGTGGGAAAGCTTTGCCAAGCAAGAAAAAGGAACCAAGTGAACAGGGTGTTTGGAGGGTGAGGTGACAGGGTGTGGAGAGAGGCAGTCCAAAGGACCGCCTGTCGCCAAGGACCTGAACAGACACTTCTCAGAGGAGGACATACAATCAATCAACAAGTACATGAAAAAATGCTCACCCTCTCTAGCAGTCAGAGAAATGCAAATCAAAACCACCCTAAGATACCATCTCACTCCAGTAAGATTGGCAGCCATTATGAAGTCAAACAACAACAAGTGCTGGCGAGGATGTGGGGAAAAGGGTACTCTTGTACATTGCTGGTGGGACTGCAAATTGGTGCAGCCAATTTGGAAAGCAGTATGGAGATTTCTTGGAAAGCTGGGAATGGAACCACCATTTGACCCAGCTATTCCCCTTCTCGGTCTATTCCCTAAAGACCTAAAAAGAGCATGCTACAGGGACACTGCCACATCGATGTTCATAGCAGCACAATTCACAATAGCAAGACTGTGGAACCAACCTAGATGCCCTTCAATAGACGAGTGGATAAAAAAAATGTGGCAGTTATACACAATGGAGTATTACTCTGCATTAAAAAATGACAAAATCATAGAATTTGCAGGGAAATGGATGGCATTAGAACAGATTATGCTAAGTGAAGCTAGCCAATCCCTAAAAAACAAATGCCAAATGTTTTCTTTGATATAAGGAGAGTAACTAAGAACAGAGTTGGGAGGAAGAGCATGAGAAGAAGATTAACATTAAACAGGGGTGAGAGGTGGGAGGGAAAAGGAAAGAGAAGGGAAATTGCATGGAAATGGAAGGAGATCCTCATGGTTATACAAAATTACATACAAGAGGAAGTGAGGGGAAAGGGGGAAAAAAACAAGAGGGAGAAATGAATTACAGTAGATGGGGTAGAGAGAGAAGATGGGAGGGAAGGGGATGGGGGATAGTAGAGGATAGGAAAGGCAGCAGAATACAACAGACACTAGTATAGCAATATGTAAGACAGTGGATGTTTAACCGATGTGATTCTGCAATCTGTATACGGGGTAAAAATGGGAGCTCATAACCCACTTGAATCAAAGTGTGAAATATGATTTGTCAAGAACTATGTAATGTTTTGAACAACCAACAATAAAAAATTAAAAAAAAAAAAACAAAGGACCGCCTGTCAACAGCATGAAGGAAGCTGAGGAGCACCTGAGGAGGAATACCCACCTGCCTCCTGAGTGCTGGGCTTCTGCGGGAGAAGAGGATCACACCAGGAACCAGGCAGGCAAAGACCCTGCCCTCAAGGAGTTTAAGTGAAGTCACAAAAGCATTTCAGATAACTGAGAGTATTGTGGAGCAAATAACAGGGCAGCTAGCTAAAGAACAGAAGTAGGTTTGGGGAGCAGCAGTTGGGGAAGGTTTGCTCAAGAGGAGACGTTAGCTCACAGGCCTGAGGAAGAAGTGCTGGTCAGGGGTGTGGAGAGAGGAAAAGCTTCCAGATAAAGAGGGTCAAAGACATGAACATATTAAGACTTGCTGTCTGAAGAAACAGGAGGCCGGTGTAGCGGAGCACATTGGAGGGGATGCAGAGAGTGATGTAAGCAGGTCCGGTTTATTGAGGCCCTGGACACCATAATTTGAATAAATTCTGAGTCCAAAGAAGCCTTGGGTTTCCAGGGAGTTCTGAAGCAGGGCCAATGTTTCATTTATATTACTAAAGGATAGCTCTGGGGGCTCCGGGAAGAATTACTGGGGTCAGGTGTTAGAGCAACACCAGTTAGGAGGCTTCTGCCAGAATCTAGGCAAGAGCAAGGAGTAGTTGGGGTCAGGGTCATGACAGTGGAGGAGGAAAATGGTGGGATCTGAGATATATTTGGAGACAGAGTCAACAGGCGCTCCCAATAAATTGGATTTAGAGATGTTGGTAAGGAAGGAATTATGGATAACTTGTAGGAACTGGAAAACTTGAGGCTATGTCCTCAGGTAGAATTTTAGCAAAGAGTCCAGAGCTCTTTGGGCAAGATGTAAATATATGGTGCTTGTCAGACATCCAAGACAAGATATTTCTTAAGTGGGTAGCTATGAGGGCAGCTCTGGGGAGAGACCAAGATTAGTTATGAATGTTGGGGTCACTGGCCTATAGATGGTATTAAGAATTTAGAATAAAGTGGACAATCTAGAGAAGAGTATGGTGAGTGAGAAAACCCCTATCAAAGCCCTAGGGGGTCCTCTGACATTCAGGCTAGAAAAGGAAAAGGCAGGGAAGTAGAGCTAGTTGGGAGTGGCCAGGGAGGGAAAGGGGTCACAGCACCAGGTGGTATAGAAGCCAGCAGAGGCCATGGTGTGGAATGATGCTCACACTCATTAGGTCACCAGTGACTGAAGGGTAAGAAGGTAGCTTCATGGTTGGCATGGACATGAGTTGGAGAGGGTTGAGGAGAGAATGGAGAAGAACTGGACAGTCACTGAGACAGTCTGCAAGAAGAGGAGCAAATCTTCAGAGTAGCACATGTAATGGAGGTTTTTAGTTTTGTTTTTAAAGGGAGGAAACATACCAGGATTGTAGTCTGATGGGAAAGATTCACTGGAGAGGGGAGAATGGCAGGAGCTATGCCCTTAAGCCAGCAAGGACACCACACTTTCCCTTCTCCTCATCCCTGACTGTAAGTTTCTGTGCTGGATGAAGTTCCTGTGATCCTCAACTGTTGGCCTCTTCGGGGGCCCTCCCCTGACCCTGCTCTTCTCTCCCCATGCCCTCCTTGGTGGTTCCTATCAACCCTCAAGGTTTCAGATGCTCCTGTGTTGACATCCAGGCCTCTGCCTCTCACTTGAACCTTTCCTCAGCCTGTAGATGCTGAACGTTCCCACTGGCTGTCCCAGGGAGCTCCACACAGCAGAGGCAGCCCCTGCCCCTGCATCAACCTCTCTTCTGTTTCAGGGTGCAGCAAGAAGCTTGGCTCCCTGCCAAGGTCTTTGCTATACTCCCTTCACACTTTGCCAGCCAGACTCTGTATACACATGGCAAAGTGATCTATTGATCCAGATCCAGTGACTCTGTAACCACTGTGTATTAGTGAGCTTTTTATCCCTGTGACCAAAATACCTGGCAAGAATAACTTAGAGGAAGAAAAGTTTATTTTGGCTCATGGTTTCAGAGTTCAGTCCATGGTCGGCCAACTCCATTGCCCTGGGCCTAAGGTGAGACAGCACATCATGATGTAAGGTGATGACAGCCAGGAGGCAGAGAGAACAGTCACAGCGTAGGTGCCCGGGACAAACATAAACCCCAAATACACATTCCCCTGTGACCTTCTTCTTCCAGTCATGTCCCACCTGCCAACACATACCACCCAATACAGTAGTCCTTCCAATTATTGTGTGTGTGTGTGTGTGTGTGTGTGTATTTTCTGATGCTGTAGGACACAAAAGACTAGTCTTTTTTTCTTTCGAATTACTGATCCATCAGCTAGATCATCCCACTGATTATAGTTCTCATAATCTAAGCATTTCACCTACTGCTATACTCTCTACTGAGTTTTGGGGACACCTCATATTCAAATAATAACCATGCTTCTACCACACACTCCCCTTAAGGGAAGTTCCTCAAGCTACTTTATTTTCAAAATGTATCATGAAATCTTTATTTTAATTAGTGCACAGCTATTCACATTGAAGTTAGCAAGAAAAAAGTCACTTTATGATAATAAATATTCATATGAGAGAAAGTCTGCAAAGTGATTTATTCTCAGTTATTGCTGAAAGTTCTTCAAACAAACCAGTGCATAAAAGTGTCTAAGAGAAGCACCAATTTTTCAGGTTTCTTTACTACTGCTTTAGTAAGCATCATCTTGATAATGTTCATGTTTTTAAACTGCTCCTTCAGATGACAGTAACTCTTCGATGTTTACTTTTATTTCCAAGTTTGTGATGTTATAAGTGGCTACATTAGGGTTGTGAACTGTCTCACTGTCTTTTCACTCTCTCTTTTCAACTCTTCAATGTGGGCATCTAGGCGTTCCAGAATATGATGAGACCTCAGTTCCTCCTCTTCCAAAAACCTGGTAGCTATGGAACCCAGGGGAGACACAGGTATGGAACACTAGGAGAGGACAAATTGTGATATGTATGAGTAAGTAGCAACTTACATTCCTAAAATGCATGATTCATGATATTTTCTAGCTAACAATATTAAAAAGTGATTTCCCCTGAAAAGATATTTGTTTTCATTCTAATGACAAAAGCACTAAAAGTAAAAATTGGTAAGTTTTACAAAAATTAACACAGATCCCTCCCTTCTAACTCAAGTTGTATCAGTGTTAAATATGGAATAAATAGAATAAATTACTGGCCACTGGTCTGAAGAATAAATCAATTTCGACTTATATTCCTTCTGTTCCCCAGAAGAGAATATAGTTAATGTCTACTATTTCAAACTCACTTTAAAATTCTGAATGCTATTTTCATTTTAAAGTAACAAAAATCTGCCAGTTGAAATCAATATTTTACCCCACCCCTAAAATTCTACTCCACAGTCTTTTATATGAAGCTCATGATTCTAGCAATATTTCAGAGTTCAGATTTTAGAAAGGTAATACAGGAAATATGCCATATGCAGTCCACCCTCATTTGCAGTAGTTATGTTCTATGAAATCACCCTGAACACTGGATTAGTGAACACAGAACCACTGCCCCTGGGGAAAACACATACACCCCTCACAGAGATCACAATCCTAAACTCTAGAAACAACTCAGCCTGGTAGATTCTATATAGTCTCTACTTATGAAAGAGAAACAAGGCTTGGAGGTATTAAATGACTCTTCCAAGTTGCCCCCCATATACACTGGTGGAACTGGGACTCAAACCTGTGCAGCTAGCCCAGAGCTGTGCTTCCAGGACTATGCTGTGCTGTCCCACCCCCCACTGCCACCCACTGGCCATCTCTGCCAGAGCACTGAGGCAGGAAGGCCGAGTGCTGCCTTGTGCGACCTCAGCTGGGAACATGAAGTCAATGACTCCAACTTCTCACCACTGTGCATGTCCACAGATGACTGTGGAAGTGCCACAACAGAGTGTAGAGAGAAGGCAAACACACCATCTTTGATGGGTACCTGCCACAGTCTGAGGTTATGTCCCACAACTAAATACACTGATATTTCTGAAACGAAATGCATGGATACTCACACTAATATAGAATAAACAGTCTACGCAGATCCCATTTAAGTCAGGGAAGTCTTTGGTATCAAGTTTTGCTGCCAAACTTAGGACTTTTTGGATTTCATGATTACATATAAGGGAAATGTGGACTTATTTTAACACTAAAAGAAAACCTTTCTCCAGATTTATTGCAACCCTGCAAAGTCAAAAAACTCAACTTTACATGTATACAATCATAAGGTAGTGGGGAAAGAAGAACCCAAGGCACAGGCTTCTGTGCAGAAACAAAAAGACTGTGCAGTCTGCATAGCAGGGGAGGGAATAAGGGGACAGATCAAAGGCAGCCTCTGCCACCAGGGCCCTTGCACAGTGCCCAAACCACCCTCTGCACACTTGAGATGCACAACCTTCCTCCACCGCTGCCACCCTCCCCTTTCCTACAGCTCCTCTTCCTTCTTCATTGCCTGTGCTGCAGGACTGTGGGGATGCTCACAGACGCTTCTAGAAACAACCATTCCAGTACAGAACTGGCCCTCTCTGAAAAAGACAGGAAGGGAGTTTCTAATTTGGGTTAAAAATGAATGAATACCTATAATTAATATTTCAGAACTAGGATATATTCTGAAAAGTAATCTTGGCTGAATGTCTTCACAAGCAAAACTCTAAGAAATACATGAACATAGAAAAGGGTAGTTATGATAGAGAATCCATAAGAAAAACAATCACCCTCTTCACCTTTAAAATAAAAAATGAAATCAAACTAAATAAACTAATGAGCTAGTAAGATCAGAAAGTTTCCATACCGAAGATACAAATTCTTCTTGGTCATTCAGACTGTCAGATGTAGTGTCAGAAAAATTGGCATTATTCGCATCTAGCACTGAACAGTTAGTCTGACACAGAAAGTAAGAAGGCAAAGAAACTGCAGAGCTGCAGGGGCTGACTTGAGGACTCAAAGGGGTGAGGACCCTGGGCATGGGGTCCACACCATCTGATGCTTTTCCTCTCACAGGGTGGAAACCTGTTTTGTAGTGCTCAGTCTTTATTCCATCAGGTCTGTGCTGGCCAAGGGCTGGCCTGGAGAGCAGATTAGAAAACAAAACAAATGAAAAACTGTTCCAACTCTTCTTTTTCCAACAGAAATGCTGTAGGAAGTTCACTTAGACATAAACAAAGAAGCCAATCAGTAAGGCTCTATAGTTTACCAAAGGAGCAGCCTACTCAGATAAGGTGCCCTTTTACTCATTCAGAGCCCAAATACCCAACCCCTACTCCAGGCCACGGCCCTCACCTACTTTTTATACAAGGGCCAGGAAGACAAACAAGCTGTAGAGTATCCTAGAGTGGTTCCTGCTAGGATCGGGGAAGTAGAATGGGGTGAGGGTGTCAACAAAGGCTTTTGTTAGGGAAACACATAAGCCATATTGTACGAGCTGAAGCCAGGCAGCTTGTCCTTGAATGCTTATTCCTTATGGTAACAGCCTAAAATTAATTGATCAAAAACAGAAAGGAAGTTTTTATAAAATGCCAAGTTCTGCTTCTTACAGGACAGGTGGAGTGAGGAGGCTGGAGGTAGCATGAAAAGGCTCAAGGGAGTAAACCTGAAGACTTTTCAGAGAGCAGAAAACTAAAGCTCTCATAAAAGTGCCATTCAACTTCCCCTCCATTTTTTAACCTGACTGTGGCTTTGCTTGTGTATGCTGTACTTCAGAATTAAACACAGAGCCCTTTGATTTAATTTCTCTAAGTCATAAATTCTCAAAGAAATGAGAATTATATTTCCATGATACACATTTAAAATAATCTTTTAAGGAACTTTACTTAAACTCTGTATTCCTGAACTCAGTCGTTCTGCAGAGTGTCGGCTTAAAGATATTGTCTTTTTTTTGGCATATCTGAGTAGCGATCTCCAGTTGAGATTTGGTATCCATCAAATCTTTCTGTAGTTGTTGATTTTCAGACACTAATTTATTTAATGCCTCAATATAATTCTCCTGAAGGTCTGTTAGTGAAATCTCTTTTGCCTAATAAAAAAGAATACTAAAGTCACTTAATTTGTACAAGAATACTTGTGACCTATGTCACTGCTGGCTGAAAAATAAAATTTTTTATTGTTGTAACTAGTTAAGTTGTGGCTTTCTTCAGAAAAAGTAAAGGTTTGTCTTTAGTTAAGACTAACGAGAAAAAGCATTCTGTTTCTTAGAGTAAATGGGAGTGGAAAGAAAGAGCACAATGGGATTCCTCATGTGACAGGAATATCAGAGGAGCTGGGGAAAGGATGGAAGCAGGATGCAGGAAAGCTGAGAGAGCCAAAAACAGTGATGAAAAAAGTAAATAACAGCAGCCATCTTGTTCTGCAAGAAGGAAAAGTCTGCACAGCCCCATTACACCTAGGGAAGAAAATCTACAGACCTAGTTCAAGGAAAGAAATTTAAACATAAGGTACTATGAAAGAATTCTACAAGGACAAATTTTGAGCAAATATTCTCACATCCTAAATATCTTTACTTAACTAGCATCTAGGTTTGTACTCTTGGACAGGACAAGGCAGGATGTGAGAATGGTGGGATCATAGTAGCACTTGATCATAAGTTTTCTCTCTCTTCACTTCTATATGTTTCTTGGTAATACAGAACCATTTTTTTTCTAAGAACAACATTTTAATTAGCATTTTGCAAAATTATAGTGATCTTTGGAGAAAATCATTACTAATAATGATTATACCTTGTTCTTTATTTTTTAAATAGTTTTTGAGTTGTAGATGGACACAATACCTTTATTTATTTGTTTTTATTTTTATGTGGTGCTGGGGATCGAACCCAGTGCCTCATACATGCTAGGTAAGTGCTCTACCACTGAGCCATAACCCCGGCCCTACACCTTGGTCTTTTCTATAAAAGATTTTCTGAAATTACCTAACAGAAACATAAACTTTAAAATATATCTGTAACTACCTCTGTTCCAGTGACAATGAGCTATGAGATCTTTCAACAAGTTTTTCATGCAAGATAAAATCTTAGAGAAGAATATTTGCAGGACAGAGAAGCTAAACTGCAAACTACTGCCAGTTTTTAAAAACATGGAAATATTTTACTAGCTGCTATTTTTTAAGGATGATTAGAACTGAGAATGGAGGTGCATGCCTGTAATCCCAGCCACTTGGGAGACTGAGGCAGGATCAAAAGTTTAAAGCCAGTCTCAGCAACTTAGCAAGATGCTCTCAAAACTTTAAAAATATAAAAATAAAAAGGACTAAGGATATAACTCATATAGCTCAGTGGTAAATGTGCCCCTGGGTTCAAAAAGATAATAATGATAATGAGATAATTTATTAGATGTTTTTAGCCCAAACATTCATTTATAAAATTAATTCTGCCTTCTTACAAGTTGAAATACAAAAGGGGACTTTGTAACAATTATTTCTAAGGGCATTTATAACATGTTTATACTGTATAACTTCAAAACTAGATAAAGCTTAAACTGCTGACAGGATTTTAACACCCAGAGTTTGATGTCAGATATCATTAAGCATACTTTAAAAAAAAAAAAAAAAAGATAAAACTTGTCTTTTCCTGGCACCTTTCATAAATTTCTCAGTTATTACTTTATTAAAAACAAATATAGATAAATGAATGTGAAAGATAATATAAAAACAGAATAGCAAGCACACACCTAACTACAAAGAAAAAACAAGTATGACCAGTTAAGTGGAGGCGTCAGGAAAAATTCAGCTGAACAGAATCTCTGGTCATAGTCTGACTCGAGTTCTCATTAGTGTTCTCAACTCTTAAATTTGAAAGTAAGGTGTAAGTATAACCTTATCCTTTGTAAGGTATACTTATACCTTATGACTGTATAAGATAAGGTACTCTCAATCAAATACTGCCAACGTCTGAGTCTTTTGAGGATTCTGTAGTGTAAACCAGATTCATTCCTGGATTTCTTTATGACTAGCTTAGTATTGACTTTATCAGGGCATCCAACATCATAAACTACCCATCCACTCAGCCAGCCACCTGACAAAACGTTTAGCTATTGTCTCTTCTATTTCTCCCATCCTTGTGTGTGTGTCCTTTAAAAAAAACAAAAGCAAAAAACCCCACAAACTTTTCATTATAGTATTAGAGATTTGAGAAGGAAACAAGATTTAAATGAATGTTTTCATTTGCCATTTTAAATGACAGCATAATATTTTATAGTATAGACAGCCACAAACTAACCATTTAAATAAATACTTCTGGTAGATTTTGAAATTCTGGATATTGCACACAACACTGACATGACCATTTTGCACATGTGCTCCTATAGGATGGGTTCTTTGGGGATACATTGATAACACACTGAAAAGCAATTCAGCAATGACTATGAAAATCAAAAATGCACATGACCCAGAAGTTTAGAGACTATGTATACTTATAAGCTTGACGGCGATTGCTAAATTGTCCTTCTGAACGGCCATATCAATTCTCTTTTTCATTAATAGTGCACAAGAAAGCCTATTTCCCTATATATTTGCTAACGGTGACTATAGTTTTTAAAAATCACCATAAAGCCAATTACCAAAGGAATATTTTTTTTTTTATTCTTATTAGGTAGGTTGAAAAGTTCTCCTTTTTCACTTGATATTTATATTGTTTCCATGAATTATCTGTTTATATCAACTTTCCAATTTTTCTATTTGATTATCTTTTTCTTATTACCCTTGTAGGAAATTCTTATATATTAATGTTTTATCTTAACCTTTCATCTATTTACAGATTTTTTTCTATTACTCTTTTTATGGAATCTTTTTGTCATCTAAAAATTTTATTTTATTTTTTTGGTGGCACTAGGGATTGAACCCAGGGCCTCACACATAATGAAGCAGGCCTTTTACCACTGAGCTGTTCCTAACCCCAAAATTTTACATTTTTATGTTTTAAAATCCTTTGTGACTTCCTGATGCTTAGAGAATTTTACCATATGAAAGACTATAAAAAATAATCCCCCATTTTTCTAGTTGAAATAAAGTATTCTTCTAGCTTTTTTCACTTTTTTCCATCTTAGCCTCCTGATTGTGAAATTAGCAATACTTGGGAGCAAATGCGGAGCACTGTGGAAGCCTGATACTCTGTAGAAATTCTTTTTTTCTGTATTTCCACAATCTGTGGGTATCTGACCTACATCAAAGAAAAGATGGATCAGAACAGAGGTATCATTTGAAAAGTACAGGAATTTGTAACAATATAGTTAAAAGAGCATCACACTGTTTATAACTCACTGTTGCTAATGGTGTGCTCTGGGGTTTCACAGAAGATTTTATGCATTTTTTATTCTCCCTACCAAATTCTTCTGATGTCTTAAAGACTCCTATTATAGTCATCCCTGTATTCTTCACAGCACCTACTAAAATATTTTAAGTATAAAAGATTCTAAAACATTTGATTAAATGAATTATGTCTTATAGAAAGTAATTAAAACTAAATTGCTTGAAAGATGATATACCTTGTAATGAAAAGATATTGTGAACATAATAAATAATAAATAATAAAATCATCATTTAGCATTTATTGTATATTTACTCAATGCCAAGTATTATGCCAAGTCCTTTATATACTTGCTCCCTACTAAGAACACAGGCTGTACATGTTTATCATCATATACATGTTATAAAATATACCTTCCTACTGCTGGAGTGGAAAGTCACATTTTGTTCACTTCCATCACTGTTTTCATCTCATTTTAAAAAATTTCTGAAGGAGCATCCACTAGTTTAATCTTAACTTATTCTTTATACCATCAGCATTTACAAAGTGATTTTTAAAGGCTTTAAAAAAAAAGAAAAACTTCTATTTTTTACCTCATGTAAACCCAATTCCAACTTCATCACCATTTCAGAAAGTTGACGATTTTCTAACTTTAATGATTCCACCTGATTCAAAATCTCCTGACAAAGGAAAAAAAAATATGTGTGTGTATGTGTATATATTTATATAAATACACATATATAATCAAATGCATTATACAAAATTTTGCACATGCCATTTTTACCACGCTAAGTTGCATTCTTTGATCATATACACATATCCATACAATATGAACAAGCACACATGCTTTTCAAAAGGATGTGTTGAAGGCATTTACTGGGTGAATTAACATATATGTGATTATCATTCCATGAAGATGAACAAGGTATGAAGCAGCAAAGCTTCAGTTCACAGGCCAACCTCTAAGCACTTTCCTGCATTAGTCTTCTCCAACTTGACTTCCACCTCCAACATCACATCCAATTGCACTTCTTTAACAACATACTAACTGGTTTTCAATCCTAACTCTCCTAGTTTTTCTGCTTGACTATTCCTCTTGAAAAGATCCGTGCCTTCTTTGGCTTCCTTCTTCCTTACCAAAAACTATCTGGTAGCTTCCTCAATGCTACAATTTTTTTTAAGCTCCATTCCAATATCATTTTTACTTTAAGTAATAAGTGTCCTAAGATTGGTACAAGTCACTGCCCTATATATTCTATGCTTTTTCATTATAATCTCTAAGATTCTCAGAAGTTTTCAAACATCAGCTTCATGTAAGGAAGGACTACCATAGCTAACCCAGATTTTAACCTTGAACTCCAGGCTTTCTGTGGCATTGATTATTAGACATTTTCACAAAAAATCCAGCCTTTCTCTCAAATTCAACAAGCCAAATCAATTGCCTCCACCAACTTCCCTACTAAGTATACTGCTCACACAAATTCATTATCCTTATCCAAATTTCATTATAGAGCACCACTTTCCAGTTGTTTAAGTTTAAATCCTGAATGGCATCTTTCCTTAAATCTATCTATTTCATCTACTTTATCCAATCAAATACAAAGCCCAGGCAATTTTACCAACTCCAGAACGCATCCATTTCCCTCTACATCCTGTATCCACTGCTCAGACCATTTTATTTTTGTATATTGCTGCTATTCCAGCACGGGAGTGCTCTCTTTGCTTCCTTGTTCCTTTTCCACTTGAGACCATAGGACCTTGTACTCCTGCCTACAGCATTCTCTACTGACCTAAAGATCACACTAGAAAGCCTTCACAGAGCTCACTGGAACTTTCAGGGCCTGTCCCTGATTTCTAGCCTCATCCCATCCACTCAACCCACTTGTATTCCAGTTTCAAGCACAGCTAGCATATTATATTCTCTTAGAGACCTCTTTGTGCTCACTTCCCTTGTCTGACACACTCCTCCTCCCCTCTCACCCAGCTCATCCCTATTCAGTCCTCAGGTCTTAACTTAGGCACCATACCCTCTGGGAAGCCTCATTGAGTGATCTAGATCCACGATCCCTAGGTATTCCTAACACTTTGCATACACCACTAACAAAAGTCTGCACCCACTGTCACCTCCCCAAAATTCTTACTAGGCTGCTTGCTAACTAGCATACCCTGAGACCAAAGTAGGTATCTAATAAAAATTTACTAAATACCATGGAAATTACATCTTTAATAAATTCAACCTTCAAAAACGAACATCACATAGAATTTTTGTTCAGGCTCAACCTTGTGCTCCACTGCTTTTTCTTCTGCCTTCTGCATCTCTGCTTTGAGTTGCTTCTCCATGTCTGAGGAAGAACACTTGGCAGAGGCAATAGTGATATCTCGCTGATGCAGCTCCCGAGTTAACTGAGAGATTTCTACCTTCATTCCTTCTAGTGCAGAGCTATAACTCTGGTCAGCCTGTAAAATCTGTTCTTTCAACTATAAAACAGGAGAAAGTAAAACACCAAAAGTTAAGAGAAATCATTTAGAAAAATATATTAATGGTTAATAAACAAAGGTATCATTACCTTATCTCAGGACAACATCTTTCCTGGATTAACTCTGCAGAAAATTAGCAATTTACCAATTTCCATATCTACACTGAAGGTCAGGAGGTTATACTCATCATCATTTATTATTCCTCAAAAAGAGAAAGCTTTCATTGAGACACGTTTAAAATAACATTTAGAGTTCAGAATGAGCAGGCTTTGATTATCTTGACAATAATTAAATACCGAAAGAAAGAAGGCACTTGCCCTGAGCACATTCTACTCCTAAATATTAAGTGGTTCTTTGGACTACATTTTTTCTCCCACTGAAAATAACCCCTATAGATTTATATTCAGAATATATAAAGAATTCAAAAAACTTAACACTAACTCCAATCAATAAACAGGTTAAAAAAAACAAACAAACAAAAAAACCCTAAAATACATTTCTCAAAAGAAGAAACACAAAAGACCAACAAATATATGAAAATAAAATGTTCAGCATCTCTAGCAATCAGGGAAATGCGAATCAAAACTACATTAAGATTTTGGGCTGGGGATATAGCTCAGTTGGTAGAGTGCTTGCCTCACATGCACAAGGCCCTGGGTTCAATCCCCAGCACCAAACAAACAAAAAAAACTACACCAAGTTTCATCTCGCTCTAGTCAGAATAGCAATTACCAAGAATACAAATAATAAATGTGGTGAGGATGTGGGGGAAAAGGTACACTCATACACTTTTGGTGGGACTAAAAATTAATACTACCACTCTAGAAACCAATATAGAAAATCCCCCCCCCCCAAAATAGAACTGAAACCATCATCTGACCTAACTATCCCACTCCTCAGTTTTTAATCAAAAAAACAAAAATAAAACACTAAAACTGGCATACTACTAGTGATACAGTCGATGTTTATAGCAGCACACTTTACATAGCCAAATTATGGAACCACCCCCCCAAATGCCTGTCAATATAGGAATGGATCAAGAAAATGTGGTCTATATTACACAATGGAGTTTTACTCAGCCATAAAGAAGAATGAAATTATGGCATTTGCCAGTAAATAGATGGAATAGAGAACATCATGCTAAGTGAAATAAGCCAGCTTCAGAAAATCAAAGGTCATGTGTTCTTTCATATGCAGAATCCAGAGCAAAATAAGGGGATAAAGGGAGAATCCAATATCATAAAAATATCAGTGGAGCAGAGGAGGAGCCTGGGAGGGAGGGAAGGAAAAACAGGAGAGGGAATGAATTTAATGAAATAAAGCTATGTGCATATATAAATCTACCACAGAAAATTCTACCTTTATGTATATGTAGAAAATAAATCAAAAATAAAAAACCTAGTGAAAGGAAGTTCAGTAGAGTAGAAAAGTGGAATAGGAGGAGGGAGGAGGAAAGGGAATGTGGAGAGCAGGGACTGAAATAGAGTAAATCAAATTCCATGCATGTAAGATTTTGTCAAAATGAACCAAACTAGTATGCTCTTAAAAAAAATAAAAATAAAAAAATGATCCACAAGATCCATTTCATAACCCTTCACAATTCTGAAAAAATAAATAAAGACCTTTCTAACCTCCCAACCCATACCTCAGTCTAAAAATATGTCCAGTTTTGTGATCCCAGGCATATAGGTTTTTACCTTCTTAATCTCTGCCCTGTACTCATTGTTATGTCCTTCCATCTTCTTTAGTTCTTCATATTTCTCCATTAGCTCTTGGCTCAGCTGTTTACATGTTGCACTCACAGATTCCAAACTATATTACACAGACACAGTCACATATTTAAAACAAAATAAAAGTCCTGAAACCCACAAGTTAAATTATCTAATTTACTTTTTTTTTTTTTTTTTTTAATCACCCAGTGCAGAGGATGGAACCCAGGGCCTCACACATGCTAGGCAAGCACTTACCACTAAGCTACACTTCAGTCTTCCAATTATCCTTCTTGATGACCAGAAAATATCCAGCTACTATGTTAAAACATTAGTCTACAGCCCAAATTAAATCTTATTCCAATGTCTTTAGGACCGTCCAAATGTTTGGCAATACTTTTGATTTCCGTATTTACCTATACTTCTCTCTGCTTAAAATTAAACTAGCTACAAAAAAATCATAAAGTTAACAAAAATTTAATTTTTTTATCTCTAATATACCAGAGAGCACCAACACAGAGCTGTTACCATAGAGTCACTTTTCACAACACATAATTACATACAATCCTATGCACAGCCACAAGGATAACTTTTCGAGAGTTCCTGACTCATTACCCTTACTCAAGAATCAATACTTCATCAGATATAAAAACCTAAGAAGAGAGGTATAGTGTCTCTCTTACCTCACGCTCATTTCTATTAATATGATCTTTTTGCTCCTAAGCTGATAAACCTCATGGTTTATCATTTGCTATGCTGGCTTCTTGTCTCTTAAGAGTGTATCACCTCCTGGACTACAAAGTACCTCCTTCCCCTCCCACCTGGCAATGGACGGCCAACAGCCTTTCAAGAATCAAATCAGCATTTCCCAGATTAAAGGGACCCTAACCCTCACTCCCCTAATGACCTTAAATACAATTTATTTTCAATTCTTATAGTTTGAATGTAAAACTCTTCTTGGATTTTCCGCCTCAAATTTGCTTGTTTGAATTCCTCTTAGAATAAGTCTTTCACTGCTTATCTCCCTACAAATTTAGCCATTATCCCCTCAGCCCTTACATCATATGGTTCTCAACTGTTTCATGAACACTTAATATTCATCTACATTCTTTCATCAACATAACCAACTTACCAAATAAACTATCATTTGAAAATATCATTTTTGTAATATAACAGCACAAAAAAGACTTAATTAAATTTCCCCATTTCTTGTTTTAGGAAATATTTTTGTTCGAACTAAACAATACAAACCATTTAAAATAGTACTCTATTTTTTTTTTGAAAGAAAAAAAATTTAAGCCACTGGTTTATTACTGAACACTGGTGTTTGTATCCATTTATTCTAATTTTACCTATTTCTAAAAATCCTAAAATGTTCATTTGTTTAGTACTTGGTACATGATTACAATGTGCCAAATACTGAAGTTCAGAGAGAAGAAAAATCAGAAACCATCTTGTACTCTCTGCTGATGGGAAAATCAGGGCCTACAGAGGCTCAAGTGCCCAAAGTAATGCTACCGGTCAGAAACACTGACAGCTTCAATGCCTGAAAAGGATAGTAAAATAAATATACATATAAAAGATTAACAAAAAAGTCCATCAATAAAAAAATGTAATAAACTTCAGTTCCAATATAAAAAATATGATGAACTTTATTTTATTTAACCTAAAGCATGTATACATGCAAAGAATGCACACAAAGAATATGTTGAGTATACCAAAAGAAACAAAAATATGTGCGTGTGGTGGTGGGCTGTAGTATTTAACATGGAGAGAAAACACTCAGAAAATACTGAGTGGTTTCCAAATTCAGAAATAAAACTGAAGACAAAAAAATGTATTACTTAAAGTTAACCTAAAAAGTGTAGAATGGCACTTTTTGTTGATGTTCTTTGTTTCCCTGAAAGATAATAGTATTTCTGATCTTCTACATACAGAAAATGTTAGTATATTAATGATTGTGATTAATATGGTCACAACAAACATAAACTTATTTCCCAGTCAAAAAAGTTGGAAGCAGGACAACAGGAGTTAGTTGGGTATAGTGTGGCATTGGTGAGGATTCAATTAACATCCAAGGAAATCTCAACATGGCGGCAGAACAAAAAGGAGGAGCACTACGTGTTCTGTGAACTCTCCAAGCCAAACTAAAGGGGTTCTAAACAAGTTAAGGATAAAGAAGTAGAAACAGTACAGACAACTCCTTAAAGAATGTTATTTTTAAAGAGAGCAGGAAAATGTGAAAGTAATTTGATGATGATATAGGATTAAAGGAGGGTTCTAATTTTTTCCAAAATGAGAGATATTACACTGATTATTTTATATCAGTGGAAAAGATCTAACAGAGACGAAGAACTTCATGAAGTAGAAGAAAAAAGGAAATAGCTTCAGAAACAGGATACAAATGGATGGGTAAATCTTAGGAGCACAGAAGTACATCTATCTGTTCATCCACAGATTATGGGCACAGATGTAGCAGACCAGTAGATCTGGTGGTAGAAAGATTAGACAGAAAAATTAATTGCTTACGTTTTCTCAAAGATATAAAAAAGTCATCTGTGGATGCTAGAGGGAAAAAAAAAACTTTTCACTGAGACTATTATATTACCATACTGGATAAATACGGTGATCAAAAATTCACCTTAAAAATTAGGTTTTTGAGCTGGGTGCAGTGGCACACACCTGTAATCTCAGCAGCTCAGGAGGCTGAAGCAGGAGGATCACAAGTTCATAGCTAGCCTTACCAATGGCGAGGTGCTAAGGAACTCAGTGAGACCCTGTCTCTAAATAAGATACAAAATAGGGCTGGGGGTGGGGCTCAGTTCAATCCCCAGTACCAAAAAAAAATTTTCAGTTTTTGAAACGTGTATATAATTATCTACCTGCCTTCAAGACGAGTCACCTCTGCCTGCAGAAGTTCTTCACTTGCATGGGTGAAATCCAGATGGGAAAGCATACTATCTATGTCCTCCTGCCCTTGAGGGGTGTACTTCCTTTCTGCCTGGGACTCCTCCAGTGGCCTATGGAAGGACACAAATGATTGTTACAAGCCTTTAATCGTTGCAAACAAAAACAATGCACAGTCTATTCCCAACTGTTTTGGGTAATTAAGCTCTTAAGAATTCATCAGTTTGTCTCCTGCTTTATGAAAAAAATACTGGGAGAGCAGAGTCAAGAAATGCTACTTCCCAAGAGTCAGCAGCAATTTACTCCCTTCTTAACTGGGATTTGGCCTGGAGAAAAGCCAGATTAAATGGCAAAATCACCTTCTTGACACATACATCAAAGATAAGATACAGGACAGTTCTGGAAAGAATAAAAGTATTCTAGAGTTAAGTTAAACAAAAGGAAAATAGCTCACTCTATTACTTTCCACTAAAAACCCTAATGCATATGAAAAACTAAAATTAGTTTTAGGAATATTTTTAAAAGGGTTAGCTTGATCATTACCTACTCTACACCAAGGAAGGGAGGTCTTCCAGGAAGGGACTACAATTCCCTTCGGATCTGGATTTTACCAAGAGTGTGGAATAAGGATTTCTAACTTTCTAAATGTCAGCCTTGGTTAGGAACCCAAAACGAAAGCATAAAAAACTAACCATTCACAGTTTTATAACCCTACAAAAATCTAACTTAGAAATCAAAACTGAATAAGAAAATCCACAATATAATCAAACACAAAATTGTGAACATGCAGTATCAATGCTTAAAGTCAAACCACCAAGTAGGTAAAATGAATAATAGTTAAGATTAAACACACCTTATGGCCTCTGGTGTGTGTTGAGTGCCAGTTACTTTTAATTTTGCTTGTAGCTTCTCCTTTTGCATTTTTGCCTCACGGATGAAATTTTCTTGACTCTGAAGATTTGCCTTCAATTCTCTCTTTTCATCCTGCAGAGCCTGCAAAGTACTCAGGGGGGAGGGGGAAATTATACAGTATTACAATTCTTCTATTTCATCAGAAAAGGAAGCCAAGGAATCAAACTGTACATAACAGGCACTATTACAGCCATCTATATCTGAGCCATCAGTTATAGAGTAGGGAAGAACCATAGATTTTGGAACCTAGTTCTAGGTTAATTATTCTCTTAGAATACTCATACACACGTTTCCCTCAAGTCTAGTAATTTTAAAACACACCTCTAATAGTTTCTCAGATTCCCTCAGTTTTTCTTCTTTTTGTCGCTGCTCCTGCAGAATAGTCATATTGGTTCCAACCAAGTCATTAACCCTCATGTTAAGGCGCTCAATTTCCAACTCATTGGCACAGATGGTGTCCTTGGCTCGCTCAAGTTTACTGCTCAGGTGCTGAATTTCCGATTGGCTGGACAGCTCTACAGACTCTAATTTCTGTTTCCGATTGCTGAGCTGAGCCTACAAACACACAGATTATCAATGGGTAAAAGGGAAATGATGAAAGAACAAATAATAAATAAGGAAGAATAAAATAAAACTGAAAAATAGAAAGCATTAGCTCACTAAAAAATATAAGTACCTTAGGAAGGTGTAGAAAAAAATTGAGAAAATAAGGGGATTCTTCAGAAGAGAGGCTGCCCAACTAACTAAAAAGACCACAGTTGCATTATTCCACCTACACATAGGAAATTAGAACTATAATACATTATCCTATTTCCGATAGAAATTCAGATATTAAAATTGTAAAAATCACCAAACTTCTTAAATTTTCACTCTCTACCCACCCCCAAAGTATGTTTACGTTGTATGTAGTTTAAATATTCTGTTTTAACATTCTTTTCAGATACATACAAAGACTTGGATTCAGATTATTCAAAATGACCAGAAAATGCTATCTAAATCTGGTAGGGAGACTGAAGAATTGTATTTACTGAGGAAAAGTACTTGAAGGAAAGGGGAGATTATATCTATCATCAGTTTTTGGACATTTCCTAAGCTAAAAGATTTAACCAAAACATAACATATTTGAAATTAGTTTCTTTCTTTCTTATTAGTACTGGAAATTATACCCAGGGGCACTTTATTAATGAGCTACATCTCAAATCCTTTTAATTTTTATTTTATTTTGAGATAGGGTCTTGATAAGTTTGTTTAGAGTCTCACTACATTGCTGAAGTTATGGCTAACTTATCTAAGCAAACCAGTTCATCTAGATTGGCAACTTCAAATCTAAACAACTTTCTAGTTTTGAAAAATCAACATAGTAAATAGCATTCTTTTATTGATTTACTATTTCAGTTGTGCAAAAATACATAGGTTTTTTAAAAGCACAGTGAAAAATACATCATCTTAAGTAAAAATTCTAAATTTTCATTAACTAGAATTAATATACTAGGCTTATACTGTCTAATATGGTAGTCACTCGTCATATGTGGCTATTAAGCATCTAAATTTGTGGCTAGTTTGAACTGATATATGTTTCAGATGTAAAATATACATGGAATTTCAAAGGCTCGGTTTAAAAAAAACAAACAAACAAAGACTGGAGTCAGGTGTGGTGATACACACCTATAGTCCCAGCAACTCAGGAGACTGAGACAGGAGGATCCCAAGTTCAAGCCAGCATCAGCAACTTGATGAGGCCCAAGGCAACTTAGGGAAACCCTGTCTCAAAAAAAAAAAAAAAAAAAAATCAAAAGGCTTGTGGATATAGCTCAGTGGTAAAGTACCCCCTAGGAAAACATTTCTAAAAGAATGTAAATATGATGATAATATTATTGACATACCAGATTAAATAAGATATTATTAAAATTAATTTCAAGTTTAATGTGACCACTAGAAATTTTTAAATTACATATTTCAATTAGCACTGCATTGTACTAATCTCAAGACTACCTCTTCCAATACTAAGAAAAAATCAAGTAAGCCACTTATAAAACAATGATCATTTATTTCTTAAATATCTGCCTTTTGAGACACATTTTAAGGTTAATATATTTTTAGATTTTTTTTTTTTTTTTTTTTTTGCACTGAGTACTGCCACTAATTAACCAGAAACATCTCTTAGTGTTCTAAGATTCAGTTCTTTAACTAGTCTACTTAAGTGAGTGGAGTTATTTCAACAACATGAATCACAGTGAAAATAACTAACGAGGAAAGAGCCAAGTTTATGGTGACAGACATAGCAGTGCTGGAAGTTTCCCAGGCTCCTCAGGCTGCAGCATGGTGTGCTGCTGCAGAGCTGAGCCTGCACTGATACATCTGGAATTGACACGATGGGGAGTTTGCTAAGAGTCTGATGTCTACAATGGTAATGCCTTCATACTAGGACTCCCTAAAAAATAAAAAGCTCTTGTTGCTCCTTAACATGTTGTTCTCAGCAATCTCACAATCTGGAGAAGTTTTCTTGAACCAGGAAATATTATCACAAATCAGAAAAAGATTTCAATTCAACCCCCATCCCAAGCCCTTCCCTACTGTCTCTCTCACTTTAGCTGCCCATTCTAATAACAGTTATCATTCCCTGAATTTTAGAATAATTCTGTCAAATCCTTATGATATAGACAAACATTTGAAAAAATTGAGACCTCTATCAAATAACTGATACCACAATAAATTTTATATTATATGTATTTTAAAAAATCAGAAATCATTAGAAGAAATCTTGTCCTTGGGAAGATTTTATGACATGAAAGAAACCCTAAAGAAGAAAATGAGTGGTAAGCAATTCTAATATTGCTTATAAAACAACTATATTTCTGTAAAAAAAAAAAAAAAAAAAGACTAGTTGGCAAAATTAAAAGTAAACTGGGTAAAGCACACACAACCTAAATGTAATAGCAAAAGGCTTATACTTCATACTTAATGTATGAAAAGCTCTTTCAAAATAGTAACACACACACATCCTAAAAGAAAAAAATGAGTAAAACATGCAAATAATTTGGAAAATCATGAAAACAGAAACATGGAAAGTTTTTTGAGTTCTTTATATATCCTGCTCAACTTCACTCATAATTAAAAAATGATAAGCAATAGAAATAATTGGATGGTATTATTGGAAGAAATAGCCTATTCAACAAATAGGCTGGAAAACTGAATGTTGGGAAGGAAATCCATATGTAGCAAAATGAAATTAAAACTCCCACCCTGCACAAAAAACAACCCAAAGTGGATCAAAGACTTAGGCACTAGAACAGAGAACCTGCACCTAATACAAAAAAAACTAGGCCCAAATCTCCACCATGGTGGCTTGGAACCTGACTTCTTTAACAAGACTCCTAAAGCACAAGAAGCAAAATCAAGAATCAAGAAATGAGATGGAAGGGCTGGGGTTGTGGCTCAGTGGTAGAGTATTCGCCTAGCACGTGAAAGACGCTGGGTTCAATCCTCAGCATCACATAAAAATAAATAAAAATAAAGGTATTGTGTCCATCTACAACCAAAAAAAAAAAATTTTTTTAAAGAAATGGGCTGGATTCAAACTAAAAAGCTTCTTCTCAGCAAAGGAAACAATAATAATGTGAAGAGAGAGCCTACAGATTGGGAGAAAATCTTTACCACACACACTTCAGATAGAGCACTAATCTCCAGGATATATAAAGAACTCAAAAAACTTAACACCAAAAAGAACAAATAACCCAATAAATAAATGGAATAAGGAACTGAACAGACACTTCATAGAAGAAGAAACACAATCAATTAATAAACATGAAAAAAATGTTCATCATCTTTAGCAATTAGAGAAATACAAATCAAAACTACGCTAAGATTTTATCTCATTCCAGTCAGAATGGCAATTATCAAGAATACAATGGTTGTTGGCAAGGATGTGGGGAAAAAGTATACTCATATATTGCTGGTGGGACTGCAAATTGGTGCAACCACTGTGGAAAGCAGTATGGAGATTCCTCAGAGAACTTGGAATGGAACTATCATTTGACCCAGCTATCCCACTCCTTGGTTTATATACAAAAGACTTAAAAGTAGCATACTACAGTGACACAGCCACATCAATATTTAGAGTAGCTCAATTCACAATAGCTAAACTATGGAGCCAACCTAGATGCCCTCTGACAGATGAATGGACAATGGGATATTACTCAGCCTTACAGAAGAATGAAATTATGGCACGTGTAGGTAAATGGATGGAGCTGGAGAATATCATGCTAAGTGAAATAAGGCAAACTCAAAAACCCCAATGTTTTCTCTGATAAGCAGATACTGATCCATAATGGTGGGGTGGGGGTAGAAAGGAATGAAGGAACTTTGGATTGTGTATAGGGGAATGAGAGGAGGCTGCGGGGGGTGGTACAGTGGGATGAGGATGGGAAGGATGGTAGAATGAGACAGACATTATCACCCTATATACATGTATGATTACACTACCAGTGTAACTCTGCACCATGTACAGCCAGATCAATGTACACAATTTGTGTACAATATGTCAAAGTGCATTCCACTATCATGTACAACGAATAAAAACCAATTAAAAAATTTAAAAACGTTTAAAAAATTATATAGTATTTTTTTTACTTTTAAGATTAGAAAAGATAAGCCTAAAGGTGGAATAACTAAAAAAATATATAATAATAGTGCCCTGTTTGGGGGAAGTGTAAGGAAATGGTCATTCTCACACATTGCTGAAAGACATCCCTATCAATCCATCTTGCAGAGCACTTTGGAAAGATACATTAAAATCTTTAAGAATGTACAACTACTCTGATGCAGCAATTTCATTCTAGGGCCATTAAAAAGATAAATGGGCAGATACTCCTAAATGTTCATAGAAGGATGCTCATCGAAGCACAATTTATAAGACTGAAAAATTTTAAACTAAATTTCTATAAAAAGGAATTGGTTACACAAATTATAATACATTTAATGGGAAAATGAACTTCCATGCAATCATGATAACTTCACATTTGCTCACATGTCATCTTTAAATAGAAAACACCTTAAAGCATTGAAAATTACAACACTGTATTATAAAGTACTTAGCATAGTGACTGTCACAATAAACACTCTATACAGTTTTAAATTATGTTTCATGGAAAAGTTCAAACATACAAAGATACAGAGATATAAGATGATGATCCTCCATATACTCATCACTTACCTTCAAAACTTAAAAAAAAAAATAGTATAAAACGACTCCTCCCATCCCAAATCCGAGCATTCAACTTAATTTCTAACAAATGTGCAGGAATGTAACAGTCTGCATTATATAAGCACAGAAAAAATTTGCATCAAAATATTAATCATAATGAATCTCTAGGATGAAATGATGGATGATATTATTTCTCATTTTATCTATATTTCCTCATTCTTATAAAATGAACATATATGTAATTTTAATAGCTGACTAAAAAGAATTCAAGGAAATATGTAACACAAAAAGAAGCTACTTCTGAACTCTATTTTTAGATGCTAACAATATGCAAGAAATAAATTATACCAAGATTTTTTTAAATGGGAGTGGTGATGTGTTAATATCTACCCACGGAAATTCCTGGCTTTTCTACTGTTATTGTTCAATGGTGACCTATACATCAACCAAGTGTAATGAATCAATCTTGACTAGACTCCTGACTATAAAAGTTACATCCAACAATGAAAGGAGTTTTTAGATACTGGAGAATTTGAACAAACTGGACATTAAAATTATATTAAAAAGATATTATTTTGTTATTGTAATACTGTAATTACTGTAGGTTTTTTTAAGTCCTTATCTGTTGGGAAAGATGATAATGTCTATGATTTGCTTTGTTACATCCTAGCCAAACATAAAATGTGAGGAAGAGTACACAGTTTTAGTTTTGCAAGATGAAAAAGTCTTAGAGATCTATGGTACAACCATGTGCATACAGTTAATATGAATGCAGTGTACACTTAAAAACTGCTTAGGTGGCAAATTTTGTTATGTTTTAATCACAATTTAAAAACAAAAACAAAAAAACTGGCAACATGATGGTAGATATTAGTGCTGGGTAACAAGTACACAGACGTTTATTTAAATGTTTAAATAAACTTTTTTTTTAATATTTATTTTTCAGTTTTCGGTGGACACAACATCTTTGTTTGTATGTGGTACTGAGGATCGAACCAGGGCCGCACGCATGCCAGGCGAGCGTGCTACCGCTTGAGCCACATCCCCAGCCCCTAAATAAACTTAATATACATCATCGTACATAGTGAGTCACAGAAAGGTTTAATTTTGTTTAGTTTGCCAAAAGAGACAGAGACACACATTTATAAGTGACAATTTAGTTAAACATTCAGTTTTAGTTTAAACAAAACTATCAGAAGAATAGTTCACATATTCTTAGTAGGGAAAACAGATGTTGGCTCTCTGAAGGCTGCTTATTCTAGCTCTAGTTGAATTATGGTAAATAAAAATCCCATTTTACTAACAATGAAGTTTTAATTAGACAGCTAATAATCACAATAATAATTTGAAATTGGAAAACAGCAATTTTAAAAAAGGATCTACAATCAGTAATAACACCATGGATAAATAATCGCAAACTGAAAAAATTAAGATTGCTTTTTTTGCAATCTGAAGGCTATATTTAGAATAGAACAATATCTTATAGCAATTAAGTTTGCATAGTACTTTAGCACTCAGATCAAAAAATCCTGTTGAATTTTGTTGTCCTGTACAGGCTCAGTAGCTTCCTGTACCTTAAAATATATATATTTTTTTTCCCTTGGAATTGCTATGGGTCCTCTCCTGTCATTCTGAGTAGAGTCACATACAGCAGAGCTATTCTTGATAGTTTTCTTGATAGTTTACCTGACAGCTGACATTTCAGGAAAATGAACAAAATGTTAATACAGTATGAAGACTTAAAACAACAAATAGCCTGTTTAAAAACAAAAACAAAACTTCTGTCTAGCTCTCTTAACCAGTCTCCTCTCATTCTATAAACTGAAATAACTACTAACCTTGACAGATTGTCATATTAAACAAATAACATATAAACTGCATATAGGAAGCAGAGAAGCAGAGGTGGTGTCTAGAACATAACAGATGGTCACAAATATTCATTTCCCTCTATGTTCTCATTTTTTAATTAAAAAAGTAAGTCAGGTGTGGAAGTCAGGTGTGGTGGCGCATGCTTGTAGTCCCAGTGGCTTAGGAGGCTGAGACAAGAGTATCATAGGTTCAAAGCCAGCCTCAGCAATTTAGCAAGACTGAAAGCAACCTACTGAGATCCTGTGTCAAAAAAAAAGGGGTGGGGGGCTAGGATGTGTATTAAGCACTCTTAGGTTCAATCCCTGGTACCTCCTCTACCCCCCAAAAAAAGGAACTACAAATATCCTAAAAAGACAAATACCTAAACTAGGTATCTATATGGGTGTGTGTCTGTTTATTTGTTTATTGATGCCAGAGGTTGAACCCAGAGGCAGTTAAGCACTCAGCCACATCCCCAGCCCTTTTTTATTTTTCATTTTGAGATAGGATCTCACTAAGTGCTGAGGCTGGCTTTGAACTTGAAATCCTCCTGCCTTAGCCTTTCAAGTCACTAGGATTACAGGGCAGGCCATTATTTTTGTTTAAGCTACTAGTTCTTCATAAAAATTTCTACCACTGTTCTAAGTGTTTCTGTAACCAAAAAGATACTACTTTTAGTTACGTACACAGCAATGCAGTGTGACTCTCTCAGCTTTTGTTTCCAAACAAGCAGACCAGCTGAGCTTAGGCACCTCAGTGGAGGTATCTAATTATCAGAGAGATAAATCCAGGCATAGACAGAAGTAGAGAGAGCCAGGAGACCAATGAAAAGGAGAAAAGAGAGAAGAGTGGAAGAGAGAAGGGAAGGACAGAGAGACCAAGATTAGGAGAGTGCACCTGAGAGAGCAAAGGAGCAGGCAGTTTGGTTAGAAGAGTGAGCCTGGAGGTGTGACTGCTGCTCTGCAGGAGGGAGGGGAAGGTGTCCTGAGCATGTCTAATTGTTGAAAAGGATAGGCCCATAAGGAGAAGAGAGTGGATTTACTACACAAGAAAGAAAGCGGGCTTAGCAGAGAGAAGCTGAGAAAGAAGGAAGTTGCATTACCATAGGTCAGATTTAATCAAAACCTATCTGCCTCTCATTATGTTAAAATGTCTTAACTTACCTGAATTATCTCTGATTGTTCAGCTAGAGCCTTCCTTTGTGCCTCCAGAGAAGATACCTGTTGCTGATAAATCAAGCGCTGCTTCTCCCAGTCCAGTGATTTCTGACGAAATTCCTGAGGAGCCAATTAAGGTACTTAACTTTTAAGTGCTTCCCCTTGCTGTCACTACTTCCCAGATTCACTTTTGCTTTAATTTTTCCCCACTTCCCTGGATACACTTGCACCTTTCTCCACAGCAGGAGCCCCATTACTCACTTAGCTGACAGAACTGCAGAGCAATACTGAATTCCTCTCATACTGTGCCTTTGGATATCTGTCTTTCTAAATTTAACACCCTAATGGTGAAAAGTATGAAACACAGATGTTGAACAGAGAGTCCATAACCATCTTCACAGATTTGCTGCCACCTAAGGGTTGTTATCATTTTCTAGTGATTTTTCAGAAGACTGTTACTAAGATAACTAAAATTTCAAAATATGACTACATACACCCTCCTTATTCAAATTCTTGATTTCCAGACCCAGGAACTGAACAGATTCAAGTACATGTATGGGTAAGTCCATTGGTAGCCCAATCCTTCTCAGTATTTAAGTCTTAGGAACCAAGTAGATTCAGATAACACAATATCCTTAATAGACAAATCTTTATTACCTCAACAGAAGATCTTGAATAACATGGGAATTCTGACTAAAATTTTATTTATAACCCAAAACTGAAGAGTTCAAAATTAATGCTGGATCAGCAGCAACTCCAGATTGCATGATCAAGAAAAATAAACCCAATCTTTATTAAATGGGGTACATCAAAGGAAAAAAAAACTATCAGGGTCCCTTCTATGAGGGTCCTTTAGGACCTCAACTCTAGACATCTCATACTCCTTAGGATAATTATTGATAATCAGATTTTTTATATCCTCGCAATCATTCTATTATACATACCAGTACTCATGTGGGTGCTGGGGATACAATGTTTAATAAACAAAATCCTAGCCAACTCAATTGAAGGGCAACATATAACACATTCTTCATACAGTACATTATATGGCAATTTGTTTTTTGGAGAAAACAGAGCATAAAATGTTCAGAGATGGGGGTTGTAATTTTTTAAAGGGGCTAGCCAAACTGAGTAAATAATATTTAAGTAAACATCTAGGGCCATGAAGAAGAAGCTGTACTATTCCAGGCAGAGGGAACAGCCTTGAAGTGGGAACATCCTGATGTGTTTAAGGAGGCTGGTATGGTTGGAAAGGAATGACTGAAAGAGAAAGTAGCAGACAAGATCAGAGAATTAACAGGAAATGAGGCATGTACAGAATTATAACTGGCTTTTAAGAGAAGCTACTCGAAGGTTTTTGTATAGGACATGATTTGACTTTCACTACAACAGAATCACTCTGGTTATTGTGCTGAGAAAAGAAAGGTCAAGAAAGCTACAAAAGAAAGAACTGGGAAACTGAGAAATGGAGCTACCATCCTGAAATGGCAAATGGTGTTGGGGAGATGAAGAAAAAAGTCAAGACCTTTACTTTGGACATGCTAAGACTGACACAGTTCTAGACATTGTAGTGGATATGTAAAACAGGTAGTTTAATGTTACTCTGTAACAACGAGGAGAGATCACAATCAGGTATTTGGGAATTGTCAACATACACGATGTTAAAGCTATAAGACTGAAGGAGACCATCAGGGGAGTGAACATAGATATAGACAGACAGACAGATGAGTGTGTCAGAAGATGAGTGTGACATACAGAAGAAAATGTGATGTTTCTCAAAGCCAAGTCAAGAAAGTGTTTTGAGGAAGAGGGAAAGACCAGCTGAGTCTAATGCTGCAAAGATAATGAGGATGCTGAGGAGTGGCCACAGGCTTTAGGAATGTGGAGGCCTCCATGCAAATAGCTTCTAAAACACAAGGAGAAAAAAGCTTTACTGAGTATGTGCAAGAAAGTTGGCAGATTATTATTTTTTATTTGTTCTTTTTATATATACATGACAGTAAGGTGTATTTTAACATATACATATTTGGAATATAACTTTAAAATACCCCCCGCCTCCAAAAAAAAGAAAGAAAAACTGGGAGAAAAGAACTGGAGACAAGATTAGGTGCCTGAAGTGATTTAGCTGTAAAATGAAAAAGAAAGATGAGACAGAGGAGGGAGGGAGGGGTCAAGAGAGGTTATTTGAGAGAAATCTGGATGCTCGTGGAAAAGATCCAATAAGGCAGATTCAGAAGAGAGAAGGAAAATTGCTACAGGACGTCTTGGGTGGAGGAGAGGGAAGGCACAGCCAGTTCCTCCAGTAGGGAGGGAAGGCAGGGCACCTGGGCACTGACACAAGTAGGTGGGTAGACACAGCGTTAGAAGTCTGAACAGAAAGGAAGCTATCACTTGAAGGTGAGGACATGGGAACAAGTGTGGAAAGACTGAAGAGAAAAGAAGTATGAAAGAGTCACTGTGGAAACTTGGGAGACAAAGAGGAAATACAGTATGATTCCAGGTAGTAGTAGGAGTCATTTCAGTTAAATGACTATGAATTTAAACCTTTTTTTTTTTTTGAGAGAGAGAGAGAGAGAATGAGAATTTTTTAAAAATATTTATTTTCTAGTTTTCGGCGGACACAACATCTTTATATGTGGTGCTGAGGATCGAACCCGCGCTGCATGCACACCAGGCGAGCGCGCTACCACTTGAGCCACATCTCCAGCCCCGACTATGAATTTAAAATAAGGTCCTCCAGCATGGTTAGGTTCAGCCACTTGTGGCAAGCAGAGTGGGCAGAAAGGCAGAATTAACTAGAGCTGTGGTTTTGACAAGCAAAAGGAATGAAGTGAGAGAGGGTCATAGAAGATGGAGGGGAATATAAGGAATATAACCATGAACTTCACACTGGATAAGGACTCTTAAGTGAGAGCACAGTAGACACGGAGCAGTGAAATATACCACAATTCAATCATTTTAAGGAATGGGTAATGATTATTAAGTATCAAAGGATTAAAGGAAATGAGTTGAAAGGATAGAAATGGTGGCTAAAAATGAGATTCTAAAGAGATTGCAAACACTGGTAAAGACAAGGAATGACAAGAGGAAAAAATGAATGAGACAAGGAAGATATCAATATATGTATGAAGGCTGGGAGCAATGGCGAACACTTAGAATCTAAGAAACTTGGAAGATTGAAGTAGGAGGATCACAAGTTCAAGGCCAGCCTCAGCAACTTAAAAGAGACCTTTAGCAACTTAATGAGACCCTGTCTGGAAAAAAGAGAGAGATACTGGGTTCAATCCCCAGTTACAAAAAAGGAAACAAGAAAGAAAGAATAGGATGCCAAGAAACCCAAGATCAGGGTATTAGAAGCATCATCCTTGTAGACAGTGAAATCATCAAGAGCTTTGATAGGTTATATTATACGTACACTGGTGGGTGGTATGGGTTGATGACATGAACATTAAAAGTGGGGTTTCGGAGGTAGAAAAAGAACAGAAAGGTCAGGAAGTAGCAATGAGGAACAAGAAGGATATAGGAATTCGGGGGAGAAAGTATCAATGAAAAGGGCCAGGGGAGAGCAATATTTGTGTTGAACTGTTCTAAAATTAGAATCAGCTAGGGAAGCTGGACAAAATGCAGATCCCTAGATCCCGTGCCATACTCCTAGAAGGGAATTTTAGAAAGCCTGAAAGACTGAGTGATTCTTAGGTACAGTGAAGAACTAATGAGAAGACAGATGTACAAAGAGGGGCAGTCCTTCCATTCTCAGCAGTGCTGCTCCTTCCATTCTCAGCAGTGTTGACTCACCACCCCCTCTTAGGTCCTCTGGAGCCAACAAACACAATAGCCATGGAGTTACTCAGTAAAAACAAAATCAGGAAAAGTGGAGATGAATACCTTGCTCTATCTAAATGGGAACTGAGAATAAACAATCTGATATACAGAGCACTATGCAGAAAAAAAAAAAAAAAAAACGTACTTTCAGTATTTACTAAGCCCCTTCTCTACCAGCTGCTTGAGATACAGTAAGTGAGACAAGGATGCTGCTAATGGAGGACCGCCAGATACTGGAGATACTGGGTACAATACTCCTTTCTAGGATATAGTCTCAGACATGGTTGCGATCTCTGGTCCCTGTTGCTTAAATGCTAGTTTCATGCTCCATCATTTTGACAACCAAACAAAAAAATGTCTCTATACATTCCAAAAGCCCTGTAAGGGTACTACTGCGCTGTTGAGTATTACTGATCACCAGTAACCCCATTAACCACAGGGAACCAGGTGATGATAGGAGGTAGAGTGGTTCACCCTCCCACCATTGAAATAGCTCAGTGGCAGTCCTGGAGATGGCAGAAAATTGGTTTCAGGAAACAGCACCATTAGAAACAGCATTTTCCTACATGAAGGCTGAAGTCACTATTGTGATTATTACATACCTCTATTTTTCCAGTTAACCTCTCAATCTCAGTCCGATCCTCCCTGTGATTTTTGGTATTTCCTCTGAATTCCCTTATTTGTTTTTTCTGCAGCTTCTCATAGCTTCTTTTCAGTCTGCCTAACTGTAGACATAGTTATTTAAAATTATTTATTCAAATTTATTTAAAATTTAAGAATTAGTATACAGTGGCAAGGCCACAAATTGGTATTATGAAAGCAAGAGCAGTGCTAACCAATACTACTGAAAATAGACTGAGAACATATTAGATTTGCAATTGAAATACAAAACTGAAACTTACATATGAAAAATAAACTCTAATAAAAAGAGAAAAATAATTTTAAAGAAAATATTAGGTTTTATAACATTAAGCTTGCACTTAAAGACCCTACCACCCACTTCCACCATAAAAACAGCAAATAAAAATTATTTTTCTTTTCTCTAGGTCTATGGTTCTCAAGCCAAAGTGCTGTGGGGCACTGATAATCAGTAATAATTAAACCAGAATAAAAGCAGTTTTTCCCAAATCTAAGTAAAATTGAATTAATGGATAGAATTTTCTTATTCCTAAAATTCTGCTTTTGATCCTCCATTATTTAAAATCTATCAAGTGATTTAACTCAAAAAATCAAAATATTAAAATTTTTTGCAATATTTCACAGAATTATATAAAAATATTCTATTATCTTCATATACTCAAACAAGAAACATATTTTATAATTCTTGTTCTAGGCAGTATTGAACAAATAATCAGGCAGGATTTTTTGCCTGGATTTAAGAACAGGGAAATAGATCTCTAGCCCTGTACTTCCCATGGAATAAGTACTTTCAATTTTACGGTAGAAACTGACTCTCATTAACAAAATTCTCAAGGACTAAAGAGACAACTAAACAACATATATTAGAACTAAAATCTCACTTCTTCGTGTAGTTTCTTTAACTCTTGCTTGTACTCCATGGCCATCTCTTGCTTGATTTTTTCATGGTCTTCTATCTGCTGCTTCAACAATCCAACCTAAAAGGAGATAGATGATAGTACTTTTTATTATTAGCTTTGAAACAATAGCCCTGAACATAAAAGTAGGAAATAACCTTTGTACTTACTTTTAAACAAGTTTCAAATGTATAGAACGTACATACGCTCCATGTATGTTTATATATATTGTATATATTTTCAAATATCTAGCTATATTCAATAATTCGTAACACACTCCCCCAAAAATGGAGAACAAACAACTGTTCTAGAATTTCCAGGTTTAGATGAAAATTCACATTGTCTATTTGATTTATTCTCCCCAATCTTTTTCATAAGAAAAACTGATGAAAACAATTTAAAAATATAAAGTTTTTTAAATTTTAGAAACCAAGAATGCTTTACATTAAAAAAGTCTATAAGGGTCTGGGGTTATGGCTCAGCGGTAGAGCACTCGCCTCATACATGCAAGGCCCTGAGTTCAATCCTCAGCACCACATAAAGATAAATAAATAAAATAAACGTATTATGTCCAACTACAACTAAATAAATAAATCAGGTCCTCTTTAATGAAGAGAATTTAATCAAAAACAGATCAAAGATTTTAATAAATATCCTTTCAGCATCTATGGAGATGATAACAAGACTTTTTCCTCAGCTTTATTAGTAAATAAGTTAGATTAGTTGATTTCTTTTGTTGTTTTTGTTCTTTTTAGTGACACATGACAGTAGAGTCAATTTTGACATATCTATACAAACGTGAAATGCATCATATTCTAATTAGGATCCCAGTCTTATGTATGTACATGATGTGGAGATTCACTATGGTGTATCCAGCAGTACTTCTCTTCACAACCAATTAGAATTTCAGTTACAGACAAAAGGAGCTGGAGAACAGGGGCCTGGAGATAGTAATCTCAATCACAATATAGAATAGTAATTCAAAACCAAACAAACAAACAAAAAACTAAAAATAAACTTATAAGACTAAGAAGTTAATACAATTTCAATAAAAAAAATCCTAGTATTTTTTTTGAACTTGAGAAAGTATTCTAAAATTCAAACTAAAGAATATTAAATGTACTCAATAAAAATGGAAGAAAAAACTACTAAGTGAATATTTACCAAATTTCTGGATAAGAGGAAACTTTCTAGCTTAAAGCAAATGTAAAAGTAATTTTAAAATGATGGATATGACTGTGTAAAAATGTAAAACTTCCACATTTTAAAAAATCCAAGTAACAAAATTAAAAGAGTAAGTTAAACTTACTCTTATATACTAATCAAAGGGCTTTAAACTTTTAATATATAAGTAAACTTTTACAAATCAAATTTAGGAAATTACTAAGCTTTCAATAGAGTAATAACATAAGAAAAATGATTCCTACAAAACCCTAAATGACCAGTAACCAAAAGAAAATTACAAAAATCAATGGATACAATCAAAGCACATTATATTCATGTATGGAAATGTCACAATGAAACCCATTAATTTGTATAAACAATATGTGCTAATAATTTTTAAAAATGTTTAAAAAATGCCATTGGGCATTTTATGTCTATCAAATTGTAAAGATCTCATAAAATATGATTTACATAAGCCAGTTATTTAGAATCAAGTACCCACAGAGTGTTTAGAAAAATGCAAAGTACAATAACCTTTCTAGAAACCTTTCTATATTAATACTCATAGAAATAGTAAGCATTCATCTGTTCAACACAAATTGAAAAGCCTTAATTATTCATATTTCCTAGCTCATATCTGCTTGAGGATACAAAATTAGCAAGTGAAGGAACAAGAGGTAAGTACAATGATCAGTAGAAACGTACAAGATTTTTCAGCACAAACAGAAGAAAGGAAAGAATCAGATTACCATTATAGTAGACCTGTGGTATCTATCTACTAAAACACATAACTCACCACCAAAAGAACCACACACACACACACACAAACTTCCTTAGACTTTCAATAGCTATGACCCTTTGGCCCTCTGTCACATTTAAGATAGGACAGGCCTACAGAACCTTCAAAGCTTTGAGTGATTTTATAAGACCTATTAACTGACCATGGAATCCTCAAACCCAGCAAAAATTCTTTGACCAAGGTTTTTAAAGTCAAAGGCGAAGGGAGAAAACAAAACAAATAACCCATCACTTTCCACTCTACAATATTTCACGATCCCTCTTATTTGGCTCCTCATCTATGTCCCAAAAGAACTCAGATCCCAAAGAGAGGGTTTGCTGGCATGACCTTACAACCCATTTGAAGATGCCTGCCCTTGATAGTCTCTCCTTCCTCAGATTCTTGGCATAATGTGACATGTGGATTCCCTGAAGAGCACAGAAGAGGTTCTAGTTCAATCTAAGTTTCTCTGACCTCTTAGCAATTGGATCTCTTCATCCACCACTAACAGGTTAAATAAATACCCAAATTACACATAGCCTACCTATCAAATAAAGAGAGGCAGAAAGACAAAATATTTTCAAGACAAAACAGCAATAGAGAATCTCCAGGTAATTATCCTAATAAATAAGGAAATGCAGATGACAGAGTGACAAAGTCTAAAGAAACTCAGAGAAAAAATACAAAGATACTAACCAATGAGTGCATATTAGATTTGCAAACTAAAATGCCAGAACAAACCCTCCAACTCCAACTGAAATCTCTTTTCAATACACTATACAGTTAAAGTTAATAGCAAGTCCATCCCAAAACTGTACTAGAGAGTATGAGTATAAGAGAGAGAGAGAGAGAGAGAGAGAGAGAGAGAGAATGTGTGTGTTTGTGTGTGTGTGAAATCTGGAAAATTTATTCTGAAAAAACACACCAAAAGCAACATGTAGAATTTGCTCCCCTCTTCCAGAAAATCATATTGACACTGGAAAGGAAAAATTGAGACCTTCAATTTCCAGTTCATTGTATTATTAATTATAATGTAACACTAAATCATTGATCAATAACAGAAGTGAGAATATCAACTGTTAATGAAGTTAACATGACCAAGATAGTCACAGAACTTCTAGTCCTTCACATTACTCTGTTTTTACTACTTTCTAGAGTAAAAGAAGTTAAAAAAATTTATAAAATTTATTAATATAAAAAAAACAATTAACTAAGTAAACAAGGACAAACATACTTTGTATAAATATAAAGATAAATGCAAAAATTGGCAAGAATTTTAGTATGTAAGGGGGAAAGGAAGCATGATAAATCATGTAATTCTCAGAAGTTACCATTGCTATTAGTAATTTCCAAACTTTTCCAGGCCCAAATGGAGGGGGAAAAATGCATGTTTTCAACCACTCAAATAGGAACTGGCTACTAGTTTATTTTTAAATAAACTTTAACTGAAAGAAATAAATACACAGAAAAGTTCAGCAGAGAATAATCCTCTCAATTTTGGCCACCATTCCAAGCAGACTGCCTCCTCCTCTGCAATAGTCACTGCCTCTTTCTCCATAGGTAACCACTACTCTGACTTTGAATATTCTCAGTCAGTTTTGCTTTGTCTCTTTTCTTACTTTATATAAATGATGCCATCATACACACAGAATAATGATTCCATACATACGGTGTGTTCTCCGGGGCTGGTGCTTTCACTCAACATGATGTTTTTAAGAGTCATCCATACTGCTGCCTGGAGCAAAAGCTCATTCTTTTTAATGCTATATTGTCTTCTACTGTATGGATACATAACTTAAAAAATCTTTTTTATCATTCGTGGACATGTGAGCTATATTCAGCTTCGAGTTACTAAGAATAGTGCTGTTAGGAACAGAAGTACCACATATTTGTATTAGGAGTAGAACTGCCACATTGTAGTGTAACTTCAGTAGATAACTGGCAGTTTTCAAAAGGGATTATACTAATTTACATTACCACCAATAATGTAAATTCCAGCTACTTCATGTTCTTCTGATAACTCACTATTCATAGTTTTTTAACTTTTAGTCATTCTGGTGAATATCTAGTGGTATCTTGCACTTTTAATTTGCATTTTTCTCATAACCAGTGAAATGGAGCACTTTTTTACATGCTTATTAGCCATTTCAATGTTTTCTCCAGGTAATTATGAAATGGCTATGAAAATTTTTTTGCCTATTCTGCCATACAGTTAACCTCTTATTAAACTAAAGAAGTTTTAGCTGGGTTAGCTGGGCACCTTGACACATGCCTGGAATTCCAGTCACTAGGGAGGCTGAAGCTGGAGGATCACAAGTTTGAGATCAGTCTGGGTAACTTAGCAAGACCCTGTCTCAAAATAAAAAATAATTTCAAAAGGGCCGGGGATGTAGCTCAAGGTACCCTTGGTTCCATCCCCAGTACCACAAAATAATAATAATAATAATAATAATAATAATAATAATAATAATAACTTTATCTATTCTTTGTTGCTATGCATTGTAAAAAGGTTTGTGATTTTAACATAGTCCAAAATCAAACCATTAACCTTTTCCTTTACAATTATTGTTTAAAAAATCTTTTCCCTATCCCCTCATCACATATTTCTAACATATTTTCTAAAATCATCTTCTAGAATATTTTTAAGCATTTCATATTAAAATCTATAATCCATCTACAACTGAATTTGGTGTATGATACAAAGTAAAAGTAAAAAATCTTTCTTTTGTACCCCATTTTACTATTGTTGTGCCATTTATGGAAAAGAATCCCACTACCCTTCAGTATTGTCATTAATCAAATGTTCACATGTGAGGTCTCTCTATTATGGAACCCGATTCTGTCAAACTGTGTGTTTTTCTATCCTTGCAATAATAACACAAGATTATACTAGAAAGGAACCACCATATGAGCCAGTTTGAGTATTGCTAAGTTACCCAGACTGATCTCAAACCCACTCCTTAGTATTTATCCAGAAGAACTAAAATCAGCATACATGCATACCAATGTTTACAGCAGCACAACTCACAATAGCCAAGATATGGAACCAGCCTAGGTGAATAAGGCTGAATGAATAAGGGAACTGTGGTACATATTGCGTATACACAATGGAGTTCTACACAGGCATGAAGAAGAATGA